AATACACGTATAAATATATAAATATACAAATAAATATAGACGAAAATACACAAATAAACAAGGGAGTGATAGTAATTGATTAAACAAAAAATAAACAAAAAAAAATAAATAAATAAAAAAGAAGTAAGATGCATGCATGTTAGGTGTGGGGGCTGCATGCATGCATGCAAGCATGCATGCAATATAATATATATATTTACTCGAAATTATATTTTAATATAAATTCTCTTTCATCTATCTCTTCATCTGTCTCTCCTATATTTATATTTATTTCTTTATTTATATTTTTATTTATATTTATATTTCTCTCTTTATCTCTTCTTTCTCTTTCTATCTCTCTCTCTCTCCGCCCTGCATGCACTGTCTCCTCTTCTATTATCTCCTCTTCTCCCCATACCCCCTGGGGGCCCCCCGGGGGCCCCCCCTGGGGGCCCCCCAGGGGGCCCCCCCGGGGGCCCCCAAGGCTGCGGGGGGCCCCCCCCAGGGGGGCCCCCCCACGGGGGCCCCCAAGGGTACTAAAGCTGTATGGTTCTGTGTTTGTGTAGATGTGGTTGTTTGCTTCATCGTCATCATCATCATAAATATAATTTGATAGAAATCCTCTTCTTTGTATTTGTGCTGCTGAGCTGCTGCTGCTGCTGCTGCTGCTGCTGCTGCTGCTGCTGTTGCTGCTGCTTGTGTGGGGGAGGATGGAGAGAGAAAGGCTGGATGCTGATCCATACTGCTGCTGCTGCTGCTGCTGCTGCTGCTGCTGCTGCTCATAGAAACCCAGACCGCAGCGGAGGGGCCCCCGGGGCTGCAGCCGCAGCAGCCTTTGTGCTGCAGCCCATCCCCACTCATCTGCTGCTGCTGCTGCTGCTGCTTCAGCAGCAAGCAGAGCAGCAGTTTCTTCTTCTTCTCCTACACACTCTCTCGTGTCTCCTGTCGTCTTCCCCCCTCCACCACTGCTGCTGCTGCTGCTGCTGCTGCTGGTAGGAGCAGCAGCAGCAGCAGCAGCAGCAGCAGCAGCAGCAGGATTATCCTGCTGCTGCGCTCGCAGCCGCTGCCGCAGCTCCTCAACGTGGGGGGGCAGCTGGGGGCCTCGGGTTGCAGCAGCACCCCGCTGTCTCTCCTTGCTGCTGTTGCTGCTGCTGCTGCTGCTGCTGCTGCTGCTGCTGCTGCTGAAGCGTTTCATTATCCTCCGCATCCACTGCTGCTGCTGCATCGACTGCATGCACCATTGGGGCTGGCTAGTGAAGGTAGCCGCTAAGAAACACAACAAAAAGAGACAAAAAAAACAAAAAAAAAGAAAAAGAAAAAGAAATAAATACAGAGATAAATACACAACAAAGAGACAAAAATAAAGGAGACAGAGACACAGGAGACAGAGAACAATGCCGAAAACAATACAAAAAAATATATAAAGTATACATATAATATATATATAACTTATATATTATATAATATAGATATTATATATATTTGTGCTGCAGGTGCTGTTGCTGCTGCTGCTGCTGCTGCTTGTCTCCTTTTGCTGCTCTCACTGGCGTTGATAAAGAACGGCAGTTCTTCTGTCTCCTCAGCGCGGGACCATGCTGCTGCTGCTGCTGCTGCTGCTGCTGCATCTGCTGCTGCTCCTGCTGCAGCGTCTTCTCCTTCACCTAGCAACGCACGAGCCCTACCCCTGGCCGCCTGCGCTGCGTGCTGCAGCAGCAGCAGCAACAGCAGCAGCAGCAGCAGCAGCAGCAGCAGCAGCAACAGCAGCAGCAGCAGGACAAGCAGCAGCAGCAG